TATGGTAAACTGCAGGTATGGGCGTTCATGACATTGTTGTGGCTTATGGTAGACTGCAGATATGGGGGTTCATGACACTGTTGTGGCTTATTGAAGACTGCAGGTAGGGACGTTCATTACATTGTTGTGGCTTATGGTAAACTGCAGATATGGGCGTTCATAACATTGTTGTGGCTGATGGTAGATGGCAGGGAGGGACGTTCATGTCACTGTTGTGGCTTATGGTAGACTGCAGGTATGGGGGTTCATGTCACTGTTGTGGCTTATGGTAGACTGCAGGTATGGGGGTTCATGTCACTGTTGTGGCTTATGGTAGACTGCAGATATGGGCGTTCATGTCACTGTTGTGGCTTATGGTAGACTGCAGGTATGGGCGTTCATGTCACTGTTGTGGCTTATGGTAGACTGCAGATATGGGGGTTCATGTTACTGTTGTGGCTTATTGAAGACTGCAGGTAGGGACGTTCATTACATTGTTGTGTCTTATGGTAAACTGCAGATATGGGCGTTCATAACTTTGTTGTGGCTGATGGTAGATGGCAGGTAGGGACGTTCATGTCACTGTTGTGGCTTATGGTAGACTGCAGGTATGGGGGTTCATGTCACTGTTGTGTCTTATGGTAGACTGCAGGTATGGGGGTTCATGTCACTGTTGTGTCTTATGGTAGACTGCAGGTATGGGGGTTCATGTCACTGTTGTGGCCTATGGTGGACTGCAGGTATGTGCGTTCATGGCACTGTTGTGGCCTATGGTAGACTGCAGGTATATGGGTTCGTGACACTGTTGTGGCTGATGGTAGACTGCAGGTAGGGGCGTTCATGTCACTGTTGTGGCCTAGGGTAGACTGCAGGTAGGGGCGTTCATGTCACTGTTGTGGCCTATGGTAGACTGCAGGTATGGTCGTTCATGACACTGTTTTGGCCTATGGTGGACTGCAGGTATGGGCGTTCATGACACTGTTGTGGCCTATGGTGGACTGCAGGTAGGGACGTTCATGGCACTGTTGTGGCCTATGGTGGACTGCAGGTATGGGCGTTCATGACACTGTTGTGGCCTACGGTAGACTGCAGGTATGGTCGTTCATGACACTGTTTTGGCCTATGGTGGACTGCAGGTATGGGCGTTCATGGCACTGTTGTGGCCTATGGTAGACTGCAGGTATGGTCGTTCATGACACTGTTTTGGCCTATGGTGGACTGCAGGTATGGGCGTTCATGTCACTGTTGTGGCCTATGGTGGACTGCAGGTATGGGCGTTCATGGCACTGTTGTGGCCTATGGTGGACTGCAGGTATGGGGTTTCGTGACACTGTTGTGGCCCATGGTGGACTGCAGGTAGGGACGTTCATGACACTGTTGTGGCCTATGGTGGACTGCAGGTATGGGCGTTCATGACACTGTTGTGGCCTACGGTAGACTGCAGGTATGGGGGTTCATGTCACTGTTGTGGCCTATGGTGGACTGCAGGTAGGGACGTTCATTGCACTGTTGTGGCCTATGGTGGACTGCAGGTATGCGGGTTCAAGTCACTGTTGTGGCCTATGGTGGACTGCAGGTATGGGGGTTCATGTCACTGTTGTGGCCTATGGTGGACTGCAGGTAGGGACGTTCATGACACTGTTGTGGCCTATGGTAGACTGCAGGTATGGACGTTCATGACACTGTTGTGGCCTATGGTGGACTGCAGGTAGGGACGTTCATGTCACTGTTGTGGCTTATGGTGGACTGCAGGTAGGGACGTTCATGGCACTGTTGTGGCCTATGGTAGACTGCAGGTAGGGACGTTCATGGCACTGTTGTGGCCTATGGTGGACTGCAGATATCGGGGTTCGTGACACTGTTGTGGCTTATGGCAGACTGCAGGTATGGGCGTTCATGTCACTGTTGTGGCCTATGGTGGACTGCAGGTATGGGGGTTCATGACACTGTTGTGGCTTATGGTAGACTGCAGGTAGGGACGTTCATGTCACTGTTGTGGCCTATGGTTGACTGCAGGTATCGGGGTTCATGTCACTGTTTTGGCCTATGGTGGACTGCAGGTAAGGGGTTTCATGGCACTGTTGTGGCCTATGGTGGACTGCAGGTATGGGGGTTCATGTCACTCTTGTGGCCTATGGTGGACTGCAGGTAGGGACGTTCATGGCACTGTTGTGGCCTATGGTGGACTGCAGGTATGTGCGTTCATGGCACTGTTGTGGCCTATGGTAGACTGCAGGTATGGGGGTTCTTGAAACTGTTGTGGCCTAGGGCAAACTGCAGGTATGGGCGTTCATGTCACTGTTGTGGCCTATGGTGGACTGCAGGTAGGGACGTTCATGTCACTGTTGTGGCTTATGATAGACTGCAGGTAGGGACGTTCATGTCACTGTTGTGCCTCATGGTAGACTGTCTGCATATATGTGGCCTATGGTAATATTATAAAATGGTGAAAATAGCGCTACGATTAATTTAACCATTCACTGTTCGTCCTTTAAGAAGGGCTATCACTATTAACTCCACAACAACTGCCTCCGCAATCTACTCCATTAAAGCCGGTCTTGCTCAGGTCGAATAGAGCCTAGAAATCAGAATGTGGAAGGTAAAGATACTGATGCAATAAAACAGTCATATTAACTATCACAATACTATTAATCACATCTATCGAGTAGACAATAAGCCATGCCACATACGATCCTGATTTATAGTAGCTTAACAGTGGTCCGTGTCACGTATGATCCCGATTAACAGCATACTGTTTAAATAGTTGTTCACTTAAGGAATATTGTATATGATTGTCAGTTCTCCGTTTTACTTACTTACTTACTTTGGAGATTTAACGTGCGCTTTCCGACTGATGCGTATTTCGCACATCTCCGTTTTCACAAGTATTGTATTATATACGTGGTGATCTATGTACCGTTGTATGGGGTTCATTGTGTTCGTATGTATACAATTGCCATGATTGTTCGAGAAGCCGGTGTTCCCAGTTTTCCGTAATGGCATACTGTATACGCGCTGAGGTACACACCAGTGTATTTTTGTTTAGTACCTCATTTATAGGAACAGAGTTGTTATTGTAGCGACCCAGTGTCCAATATACAATAACAATCCAGTTTATATGGTGCCCTGTGACGCTGATGTACCCGGTTTATGGCCTATCATATTGATGGCGCGGTCAGTCCACCTGACCGCTGGGCAGTTCGGGTCACTGGTCACCTATTGTGTAGGTACAAGATGGCTACAAAGGTCTTACGCTTTACTGCACCACACACATCCACATATAACACGTAGACAGTTTCACAGTGATGAGATACACAGCCATCATGAAGCGATGTGGTATAAGACGCGACACAATCGTCGCCACGTACTGGCACTGATTGTTTAGGTAGTTTTTTTTATAGTATACTCATTTCGAGAGCAGGGGCAGGGGAGGATCTATACTTGGAGAGGGCTGCACTTTCTGCGACTCTCGTAAAGATTAAGGGTTACTTTTTATCTGAAAAGTCCTTGATCACCACGAGTAATTAACATCACTTCTGTTTATGCGTCGGTTTCCTAAACCCTCAATAGATAATTATAAATATGGCTCCATCCTGCATGTACACGTAAATGAGGTTTCTTGAGAGGCACCTCGCGAGCTCCCACGACAGAGTTTGCCGAGTGAGAGATGAAGTTCCGAGGGGAGACTGCGAGCCTGGGTAGCGGAATCCTGTTGGTAATGGTGTAATTGGGCATGTTACAGCGAACTGATGCATAAACAGGTAACCGAGGGTGCCCACGGCCTTCTGTAAGCCTGGCTGCTTCCCTGGTACAGACGTGGACAAACACAGGAATACCATGCATGTTGATATGTTGTGATCGGAAACAGGCAATACACACCCACATGATATATACACAGCGGTGTTTCTGGAGCAGTGTCTCATAGCTTAGTGTCTGTATGCGGCTCCAGAACCATCACCCAATCTGTGCAATTCATATTGGAAAGTTCAGTCAGAATTTGTTATAGTTCAGTTTTTTTCATGATTACTTTGTACAGTTTATTCCTACTGATATGTATCCTTCACAGATAGTCATCTTGTTAGATCAAGGTGATTTTCAGCTCGTTTTCGGTGCTATGTTTGGCGCGGACTGATAACACGCTGGTGATGCTTTTTGCCTCCTGTCTAATCTATCGATCTCAAGGTAACAATTAATCTACAACACTGTATTCACGGCGCGCTCATATCCCAGCAGGTCTACAGGTTGATACGATTGAGCAGATAAACCAATTGGTTGTGTGTGGAGATTGAGAAGACATGCATGTTGAAGGAGGTGTAGGAGTTAATGGGATTGTAGATGGGGATGATAGCGGAGACTCACCACCGTCAGATAAAGGAATTTGGGCGGAGGTAAAGGGGTAGTGCTGACAGGTGACCGATAGGCGGAGGCCCCCACTCCGGTGCCAAATGGTAGGTGATGTGATAAGACAAGGTGCTGAACATCTTCGGAAGGTAAGGGTGTTATTTTGAAGAGAAATCTCTTGTTGGGAGATAATAAACGCTTTGATGCGCGGGAATGTTAAGAGTCAGTAGCTGTATCAGTAACTGATCCTACACTATGACTATGGAGACTGTTTATCAAACTGTAATGCGAGTCTTTATACTATACAAGAGACGTCAAACAATTAAGACTTCAAACAAAGCTTTAAGTTATGATTTCGAAGTGTTTAAGGGTGTTCACAAGGTTAAGCAAAACCTCCCCCATGTGATCTCGTCAACCGAGGAGTCCAAACCTGTTTATATAGTCAGCAGTATGCAATAATGACACTCATGTATAGCATTCGCTTCATGGAGGAAACATTGATACTGATACTTAGGATGAAGGCATTCTGCCACTGCAGCATCGGATACCGCTCTATCCACATGTCAGTCTAAGTATGTGTGAGCGAGGGTTCCTATCCGCGGTGGAGAACGGGAATAATGAAGAAGGAGACGTCACCAGAGAAAGGGCGACGTGCGTCACATAGTGTTAAAGAGTCTTACCTGATTTGCCTACTCCGGGCTTGCCCATGACGACAATCTTGCTGTCAGGTTGTTTGACCTTGCCCCCGGAGTTCATAGTGAGTGTGCTGGAATTCATCAGTCTCGTACACTCATCATGGTAATGATATCACATCCGTCACAACTTTGAGTGCACGGCGAGTAGCAAGTTAGAATAGAATTCCTTACAGTTAACACATCCTACACGAAGGGCGTCGGAAGATTTTAATCGCCGGAGCCTTGAATTAAAAGTTGTTGAAAACACAGGTGAAAACACCACAAACAGTTCAACTGTTTAAATACACATTTCGAGTCAACGTTGGACGTATCAGATATTTGTCGACTGCGGTTTGGACAAGCAGACGACCAACCGTGTTGACTTGGTGGGAGAAGTTTCCATCCACAAACCTCCTCCTCCACAGCGGGTGTACAGTAAAGCTGATACCACCGAATCACAATACCCCACTGTAGTGCACCCCTCACTAGTCCAGTCTGGGGGCCCACAATCACTCTCTGTGTACATCTGTGCAGAAACACAGTCCTCTATAGACACGCGGGCTACACATGATATCAGTCACAAGCATTCGTCAATAAACACCAAATGCTCCCCGGATTGATAACAAGTGAAGGGTCGTATATGTTGAACACCCAGTTATGTCGCCTGCGAAAAACTTCCGTGTATCCAGAGCAACGTATGCAGGGAGTGGCAATGCTGTTCCTTGTGTTTCCCTCACTCGGGATGTCCGATAATCCCGCTAGCTGCGATGAGAAAATGACAGACAGCTGAAGTCAGTCGACCAGCGCGTATTGAAATCCTCGCTCAACTGATCAGCGTGTCGTCTGCTTCGAACTGGGGTCGGGTTTCCCCACCTCGTTCTGGAGGCACGCGAGTTGAATGAGGAAAGCACAGGCAGTGATCGTGTCCCAGGGTAAATATGTTTTCTGGGAGCGTGAGCCCTTCTCTGTGTCGATGTAGATTTCTGATATCACCTGCTACCATTCAACACTGCGAACTGAGGCTGAGTGGAACATACTTCCGATCCTCTGACAAGAAAGCTGTCTGAAACGTACTGGTTCACAAATCCATAAAATTGCAATGCCCTTCAAAGATCAGACCTGTATCCTGCAAACAGTGAACTTTCGAAAACAATTGTGAACATGTGTTTAGAAAGGCGCATATAAAACTGACAGCCAACTGAGGAGAGGGAGGCACGACCTGGCCTGGCTGAGGCTGCGACTGCGAAGCTTGTGGAGATCCCACTCCTTAGGGCAAACTCGATACCCAATCAATGTCTCCCTCATAACTCCTTTGTTTTATCCCCTGCTCTGTCGAGGTATGCCGGCAGATTCCTCCGATTCTAACCAGCTGTTCACACAGTGTCCCCTCCATGTTATTGCACGGGTCCTGCTTTAGGGAGGAGTCTCGGGGAGATTCCTCTTGTGACCCCTACTCCTGAACACTATACTGAGGGGCTGCATCCACACACACACACACACACACACACACCACCACCACCCCACCCCACCCCCCTCCAACAAACCCACTATGTCGCTTCCTCAACGGTATAGCGGGACAACTTGCCTCCGGTAACCCATATCCCATCCTAGCTGGACTTCAAGGAGAAGTGTGTGGTCAAGCGGTCAAGCCTCTACATGCACACTAGTCACTCGGCCAGTGTGTGATAAAAACTTATTCATTAAACTAAAACGTCTTTTTATAGTTACTGCTTGTTAAGATATTATCAATTTTGATATCGTCTCTTCGTTGTCTCTAATGTGATTTCTTAATATCAAAATTTTAGTGCACATGTTCTTGTGTTGAGCGTATAGCAATAACTGTTCAACACATTATCAACACGTCCAGTAAAGCACTAAGTATACTCCGTTGTCGGTCTAAACAGAAAGCGATAATACTTTATTTTATTTTGCTCGTTTCATCTCTTGATCTAGACGTCCACACCCATCCTCGACCCTAAGGCAACCTGTCTCCGATCACAATGTATAAGAAATGGGTTAATCAGGTCCATGTTTCCATGTTCTCCAACCGCTCCTGCGTTCGGCAAATATTTGTGGTCGTTCACAGCCTGGTAAAACGTTTGAACTGATCCCCTTCTGTATCTACACGGCGTTGTCATCAACCCCTCGTGGAGAACAGTCAGTTGATGAACTATACCTCCTGTCGACAAGTAGTCGGTCAGCTGATTGGTGAGGGTTGTTCCCTGACAGAGGCAATGCATACACAACACCTCACTCTCAGGGGGTTCGGATCCCGGGGGTGGCAGTACATCCTTGTTGGCACACAACTACATAGGCAGTCTTGATGGACACCGCGCACCTGCTCACGTTCTGTACCTGTCATACTGTATGGAGCAAAGACGGCACAATTCATTGTGGCTTGGTATATTAGCTGGGGTTGAATTATTAATTGTGCTTGTAAATTAGGAATCTAATGTTGAGCAATCAACTACATAAAGCAATGTAAGTATGTCATTGAGTGTCAGACCACCAGCAAACAATGAACCCAGTCTACCCTATCCCCCGCCACCCCCCCCCCCCACCCCACCCCCCCCCCCCCCCCCCCCCCCCACCCCCACACACACACACACCCCAACACAAACACGCACTGACTCCACCCCCACCCCTTCTCCATGTTCATGGACCCCGGGTGACCCCTGTGCTCACTCTGTCAATATTAACTGTTCTGACTAACATCCCCAATCTCCAGTTGTTGGACGTTGTCAATACCGACCACATTGTCCACCTGCCTCCACACGGAGACATCAGCACCCGTCTCACGTAAGCATCGTCAGTGGTGGATATCATGTTACCCCCCTCCCCCCACCACCCCCACACTCCAATTGCCCGCCAGCCCAAACACCCCAGCCTTACCGGACACTTCTGGATATCTCACATGGCCAGACAGCGATACACTTATTGTGAATTATATTTCATGCATCATATTGGGTACGTGTAAGACAACAAGATAGCGCATCGTGTGTTTAATGGAAAGGGCACCGTCTGGCCTATGATGGGACGACTTAGTTCGGCGTTCTGACACCCAAGACACACATCAGCGGCCACCGTGAGCTGGTTGTGGGCACAGACTCGCTTGATGGGATCAAGTATACATACATCTGCATACACAATCACACGCGCCACCGGCCAGGCATGCAGCCACAACTGTTCATAGCCCCCAGATACAATATGATGTTACAGTCGTATTATACTGACAGTATCCACGAATACCATGTACTGGCACTGAACCATGTAATCATCTACATACATCATCTCGGATAATGACTTAATCTTGCCGAATCATGCCGTTCTGCTTCCTTTTGTATCAATTCAAATTCAATGCCTGTTCGGATATCTAAAGCACATCTATCTGAGTTAGAAAGGGAAATAATACTGCACCATGGGAAATACTTGCACGTGCCACATGTTTCTTTTATCATGTAATGTTGTTATAAGAGACATAGGTCGTCCTAAGTGTTGTGTTCTGGTGCAAGGGGTGTTCTCAGTGTTGTGTTCTGGTGCAAGGGTTGTTCTTAGTGTTGTGTTCTGATGCAAGAGTTGTTCTCAGTGTTGTGTTCTGGTGCAAGAGTTGTTCTCAGTGTTGTGTTCTGATGCAAGGGTTGTTCTCAGTGTTGTGTTCTGATGCAAGGGTTGTTCTCAGTGTTGTGTTCTGGTGCAAGAGTTGTTCTCAGTGTTGTGTTCTGATGCAAGGGTTGTTCTTAGTGTTGTGTTCTGGTGCAAGAGTTGTTCTTAGTGTTGTGTTCTGATGCAAGAGTTGTTCTCAGTGTTGTGTTCTGGTGCAAGGGCTGTTCTTAGTGTTGTGTTCTGGTGCAAGGGTTGTTCTTAGTGTTGTGTTCTGGTGCAAGAGTTGTTCTCAGTGTTGTGTTCTGGTGCAAGGGCTGTTCTCAGTGTTGTGTTCTGGTGCAAGAGTTGTTCTTAGTGTTGTGTGTTCTGGTGCAAGAGTTGTTCTCAGTGTTGTGTTCTGGTGCAAGGGCTGTTCTTAGTGTTGTGTTCTGATGCAAGGGTTGTTTTAGTGTTGTGTTCTGGTGCAAGAGTTGTTCTTAGTGTTGTGTTCTGGTGCAAGAGTTGTTCTTAGTGTTGTGTTCTGGTGCAAGGGTTGTTCTTAGTGTTGTGTTCTGGTGCAAGGGTTGTTCTTAGTGTTGTGTTCTGTTGCAAGAGTTGTTCTTAGTGTTGTGTTCTGGTGCAAGGGTTGTTCTTAGTGTTGTGTTCTGGTGCAAGGGTTGTTCTCAGTGTTGTGTTCTGGTGCAAGGGTTGTTCTCAGTGTTGTGTTCTGGTGCAAGAGTTGTTCTCAGTGTTGTGTTCTGGTGCAAGAGTTGTTCTTAGTGTTGTGTGTTCTGGTGCAAGAGTTGTTCTCAGTGTTGTGTTCTGATGCAAGGGCTGTTCTTAGTGTTGTGTGTTCTGATGCAAGGGCTGTTCTCAGTGTTGTGTTCTGGTGCAAGAGTTGTTCTTAGTGTTGTGTTCTGGTGCAAGAGTTGTTCTTAGTGTTGTGTTCTGGTGCAAGAGTTGTTCTTAGTGTTGTGTTCTGGTGCAAGGGTTGTTCTTTGTTATGTGTTCTGGTGCAAGGGTTGTTCTTAGTGTTGTGTTCTGGTGCAAGAGTTGTTCTTAGTGTTGTGTTCTGGTGCAAGGGTTGTTCTCAGTGTTGTGTTCTGGTGCAAGGGTTGTTCTTAGTGTTGTGTTCTGGTGCAAGAGTTGTTCTTAGTGTTGTGTTCTGGTGCAAGAGTTGTTCTTAGTGTTGTGTTCTGGTGCAAGGGCTGTTCTCAGTGTTGTGTTCTGGTGCAAGGGTTGTTCTTAGTGTTGTGTTCTGGTGCAAGAGTTGTTCTCAGTGTTGTGTTCTGGTGCAAGGGTTGTTCTTAGTGTTGTGTTCTGGTGCAAGGGTTGTTCTCAGTGTTGTGTTCTGATGCAAGGGCTGTTCTCAGTGTTGTGTTCTGGTGCAAGGGTTGTTCTCAGTGTTGTGTTCTGATGCAAGAGTTGTTCTTAGTGTTGTGTTCTGGTGCAAGAGTTGTTCTCAGTGTTGTGTTCTGGTGCAAGAGTTGTTCTCAGTGTTGTGTTCTGGTGCAAGGGTTGTTTTAGTGTTGTGTTCTGGTGCAAGAGTTGTTCTTAGTGTTGTGTTCTGGTGCAAGGGTTGTTCTTAGTGTTGTGTTCTGGTGCAAGGGTTGTTCTTAGTGTTGTGTTCTGATGCAAGAGTTGTTCTCAGTGTTGTGTTCTGGTGCAAGGGTTGTTCTTAGTGTTGTGTTCTGATGCAAGAGTTGTTCTTAGTGTTGTGTTCTGATGCAAGGGTTGTTCTTAGTGTTGTGTGTTCTGGTGCAAGGGTTGTTCTCAGTGTTGTGTTCTGGTGCAAGAGTTGTTCTTAGTGTTGTGTTCTGGTGCAAGAGTTGTTCTTAGTGTTGTGTTCTGGTGCAAGGGTTGTTCTCAGTGTTGTGTTCTGGTGCAAGGGTTGTTCTTAGTGTTGTGTTCTGATGCAAGAGTTGTTCTCAGTGTTGTGTTCTGATGCAAGGGTTGTTCTCAGTGTTGTGTTCTGATGCAAGAGTTGTTCTTAGTGTTGTGTTCTGATGCAAGGGTTGTTCTCAGTGTTGTGTTCTGGTGCAAGGGTTGTTCTTAGTGTTGTGTTCTGGTGCAAGGGTTGTTCTTAGTGTTGTGTTCTGATGCAAGAGTTGTTCTCAGTGTTGTGTTCTGATGCAAGAGTTGTTCTTAGTGTTGTGTTCTGATGCAAGGGTTGTTCTCAGTGTTGTGTTCTGGTGCAAGGGTTGTTCTTAGTGTTGTGTTCTGGTGCAAGGGTTGTTCTTAGTGTTGTTTTCTGGTGCAAGAGTTGTTCTTAGTGTTGTGTTCTGGTGCAAGGGTTGTTCTTAGTGTTGTGTTCTGGTGCAAGGGTTGTTCTTAGTGTTGTGTGTTCTGGTGCAAGAGTTGTTCTCAGTGTTGTGTTCTGGTGCAAGGGTTGTTCTTAGTGTTGTGTTCCGGTGCAAGAGTTGTTCTCAGTGTTGTGTTCTTGTGCAAGGGCTGTTCTTAGTGTTGTGTTCTGGTGCAAGGGTTGTTCTTAGTGTTGTGTTCCGGTGCAAGAGTTGTTCTTAGTGTTGTATTCTGTGATATTTTATGGAGCATATGCTGTTCTCGGTAATGTTCCCTTATGGACTTAACAATCGCATCAGAAAGCCACGTGTATGCTCAATAAGAAAGTCCTTGAAACTGTGGCGGTTGGGCGTTTGATGGGAGGAGTTTAGGGATTGCCTTGCTTGTTGAGGTTGACTGTAGAAGATCAAACTATTAGCGAAATCCCTGCTCGGCAAGACGGACGCAACGGAGCATCGGTTCCTACAGTAACACTCTCCAAGTTTCTGTTGAATCTCCCCTCATCCCGAGCTGTAACTCACCTAAACTATGTGAGTTCGCTGCATCCCGGCCCAGCAGGGAGCAGGTTGAGGTATG